TTTCTCATTCAGAGTTGCATCCTGGCTGCCCCCTCATTCCATGCAAACAGCGCAGCAGACAGAGTTTCGCCGTCAAAAGTTGTGCGGTGTCACGTCGATGTCTGTCGGTGGATCCACAAACACCACGTTGCAACTGCATTGCACAACCCAGAGCCCTTTGTTTTGGGTAACAATCGATTGTGTTGGCTGAGAATAGTGCTGGCTACAAAAAAACGAACCCGAGGTCAACCAAGGAGGATGTGGAAGGACAACAGTAATGGTGTCAGTGTTTTGATTCAAGTCCAGGTTGCAGGACTTTTCTGTTTCTTTGGTAAAGGAGCGGTGATGTTCACAAACCGTACTCTTCCAGAACCAGCCAGCCTGGCTTTGAGGACGCCTCTGAACACTGTTCCACACATGTAGCTTTTCCTCTTTGCTTCCCAGGGAATGTCTGTAAATTGAAGTGCAGCTGGTGTGTTGCTGTGAGCACACCTTGTAAAGTGCCAGCGCCCACTGTGGAACGCCATAAGGCTGTTTGCCGGCCTCATTGTCCATGCTTTGGGGAGACGACGAGGTTTAAGCCAGGATTCTCGCTGAAGAAGGAAGACATGGAAGCAAGCCTGGAGTCTTTTTCCTTCAGCGTCACCAACCAGCAGAAGCCTCTGTCCGCCCCTCCGTCTCACAGCACATATTGTTTGGCGTTCCACGGGATCTGGCAGCAGGCAATAGTTAGACGCAGGGACTTTCTGTCACATCGTTGGTCCTGCGCGTCAAACCAGATCGCCCGTGTTTGCTTTGCACAAGCTCGCCCGGGTTAAGCGTCATCCATTGTGGCCGCTAACACAGTGGGCGGAAAGTGACAACAGACCAGCACGGCAGCGGCCTCAGGATTTTGCATGGCACATCCACCATTTCTAAACTAGGCAGACGGAGATGAGCAAAAGAAATAAAAACGAGAGAGTTTTGAATGTGTCAGTTTATCGGAGCGAGAGACCCACTCGCAATAAAAATGAACAAAAGATTTCCTTCGTCAGGTCGCGTCCATGTAACCGTTCCTGCGGACCGTATGACTACAGCTTAATGCATCGTGAGAAAGGCATAGTTACAAACTCCAGCTCAATCTACTGAAATAAACATAATAGGGAAGCGGCACGTGCTTATAATCATATGATAAATTTGTCTCAGTCTTCCATGTCATCCTTCGATTAGGATTATTACCACGATGACTCTATGGACACGAGTTTACATGTAAAGTTACTAATCGAGAGACTGTTGTGGAGGAGGATGTGAAGCTGGGTGAAGATGAAGTGTGTGTCCCTGTGTTGGATAGCGAGGAACCTACGCTTGGGGACAGGGTTCCTACATACTCATTCTACTAGAGTGCTCTGCTCTGACTTAGTAGCTGTCCGTATCATAATGGCTTTTTTGTCGGAGTAAGCTACAAAAATTGAAGTGTCACTTTCTCGAGCGGCTGTGCTAACATTTCCAAGAGGGCTGTCAGAGGCTGTTACTCGGAACTGCAAAATGAATATTAGTTTTGTGCATTTTTAATACGGTGGACCAAAGTTCAGATGGACAAAACACAACACCATAAACACTTTGTGTCTGACGGCCAACTGCACTTACACAAAACAGTGAGAGCGTCTCTGTGAGCTAAGACTGACTCGCTTGCTCTTTATCGGCCACGAGCTCCCCCACACAATTTGGATTAATACTGTATATTCTGTGTACCCATACAGGTACATATGTTGTACAGGTGGGCAACTAGTTCATAACTCATGGAAAGGTCAATACTTCATCCAAGCTTTCTTGATGACGTCGTCGTCAATCGCGGTTGACAATGAGAACGAGGAGAAGCAAGAGATGTAAAAATGAATTAAAGAATATTAAAGTAAACAAACAACAAGAAAACGATAAAAGCCACACAATTCTTTCGGAGATCAGAGCTGCAGAAACATTTAGAATGAAAGACAGTGAGTGTCCTACATTGGCGTCTTTGTACTTTGGGAAAAACATCTCTTTTCTCTGAGCAGTACAACATTTGAAGGCTTTTATTTCCCGTTGTATAATGTGGGGTTGATTGGTAACTCTAAATTGCCCGTAGGTGTGTGAATGTGAGTGTGAATGGTTGTATCTCTGTGTTAGCCCTGCGATTGGTTGGCGACCAATCCAGGGTGTACCCCGTCTATCGCCCAAAGTTTGCAGATGGATGGATGGATGTATAATGTGGACAGAAATGTTAGAGTGGACCTTTAATTTGACCAGAGGAGTCGTTTTCTTTCTAGTGTTTTAACAGAATTTAGTTGTGCACAAGACAATCTAATGTTCTTATTCTGATTGTTTGTGGAATAAAATACTGAACTCCCAAACGCCTGTCTCCGAATGTCCTTCATTCAAGAGGTGGGAGAAGGGATAAAGAGGGGGAGGAGCTTCTGGCTTTATCCTCGGCGCCCCGGTCGATAGTCAGTGGTTTTGCTCTCCACTCATGATGAGAAGGGCAAGATGACTGTGTTTAAGCCTCGGCAGAAGACGGAGACAGACAAACAAGGATGTGTCATAGATGTGAGATGTGCAGACGTGCCAAAACCAAACCACTCACCGATGTCATACTTCTTTCCTGGTATTTGCACAAGACCAAGAAGTCTCTGAAGGACACCCACCTCCATCTTGACGAGCACATTTGCCCACCGCGCAGTGTGGGGTGAGCAAATGTGCCCGGATGGCAACTTTAAGCTTCTATTTTTCATATTAAAGCTCCAAAACAATTGTGTCAACTCTTCTAAATATTCAATGCACTTTTTGCAGAGAACCAGGGACATATTTTCACCAGGAAACTCCGATGAGGTTTCAAAAACATGTCTTGTTTAGAGAAACAGAGGACACGGTTGTTAAATGTTTCCCTGTTAAATTCAAAATGCTCTTTAAATGGATCTACAAAGACAATAGTCCACCAGAGGCAGTTTCGTGCTGTTGAACAATTCTAATGAAATCAAAGCTCCCTCTTTTGGCCAATTATTGGTCCGCGCCATATATTATTGCTTCATTCATCATGCTGCACCTTTTCCAGAGTGCATTTCCTCAAAGGGTTCTCTCTCCGATGTCTCTATTCAGATGGAGCAAATGACCAGCTCGCTTACTGCCAGTTTAATGTGGCATGCATTCCGTAATGGATGTTGGCTGAAATGGTCCTGGACTGAAAAACCCATTCTGACAAACGGACCCTTTCCGGTTTTCCGCCGGGACACAGAGGTACGCTCTCCGCCGGGGGTTTGTGGCCAGTCAATGCCTTTTCCTAAAGTCCCATCTCCTGTTGGACACGGCCGGGGCGGGGGGTGGCGTCACCATCTTTGACCACCATCTTTGTTCATAAAAACCTGAAGCCATGCAAGGCACCTTTCCTCTGCCTCTGACGAGTCCCATTTTTTTCGCTCCGACATTTCTGCTGTTTCCCTTTTATGTTTCTGTCACTTGCTGTTTATTTCCCCTCCTCCCGTTTTCCCTCCGTCCCCGTGTCATGGTGAAATGACTCAGCCACTCGGAGGACCCATCCATTTTCATTGTTGGCGAGTGTGGCATTTTACTATGGTTATCTGCTCTGACTAAGCACTGGCGGTGTCAGTGGAAGCTGACAAACATTCAACGGTAGCTTTGTAGCGTCTGGGACACAAGAACTGTCCGCCGCACACAATGTTCATCTGCACATTATTAAAGTCAGCGGTAGACGCTGTTACATAATATCCACAGTGGCCTTCTGAGGCGAAGGCCCAACTCTGTCACTTTAACTCTGTGGGACAGCGAGGGATGTGGAGGGGTGTGTTGGAGCCACCACACATGGAGGTTCAGGTCAGGCAGGTTAGTCAAATATCTTCAGGGTGTAGACGTTATGGTGCAAACACTTATAGTTTTATTTTCATCATCATCAGGCCAGAATTGACAAAACTATTAGGTATATAAAGAGTATAACAGACTCACTTGTCTATAGCTTTGTGCTCCTCATCTGTCCTTTCCAAGCATGAGTAAGGCCTTGTTTATGAAGCCTTCAAAAGGATAAAAGGAATGGTCTTTGTAAGTATCCGACGTGGCTCCAACGTTTTAATCAGTCTATATAGTTCCCAGACAATTGAACCCGCCCTTATCATTTTCTTTATAGAATTTTTCGAGGATTGTGTGAAAATGGCCCCTCCAGAGCTTGTAGACTTTGATCAAATTAGGCTAAACAATGTCTGGGAAAAGAATCAATCTGCATACAACATGAATCCTTACTACGTCATCGCCGACTCTTCACTATTGATCTCAACGTAATTGCATTCCACTCCAGCTCCCCTTAAGAGTGAGGACAGGCAATTAGAGAGGACAGGTGACTGTGTGGAGCCTGGTAACTCAATAAAGCACTCCCTCCGTTGGGTAATTAAAAATCATCACATGTCCTAAATGAGCAAAATCAAGGCCCTTTTTTCTCCCTTTTCTTTTCTTTATCCATAAACCCCGGAGGAAGCGGAAATACATTTGACTTTATTTGGCTCTAATTGACCAGTTCCAGTGAGATAAAAGTGTTGTTTTTCCACCAGCTGTGAGATTGCCATTGTCCTCCCGAGCATTGTCCTCCGGGTGGGACAATAGCTGCCATCCTTGGCTATGGTAGATGGAGATAAAACGGGTGGGGAACGGAGGCATTTTGCCAGTAGAACCGTTTTGGTTAGACACAAATCCACAAAGATCCGCTCCAAAATGTCCAAACCTTTTTCAACCTGTGTGATTCCTAAATGGGCTCCGATTGGATGAATTGGTGAGGCTGTTATGTTTATATTCATTGAATTTGTACAGTAACATCACCCCCTGGCGCAGAAATCAATTTGTATGACGATCTTTTCAATATTGACTTTTGAGAAATACTGTGCTACAACAGCCGACTGTGATTCTGTGACAGCACAACAAAAGCTGCACGGTAAAAATGTCAGCGTGTTCACAGTAAACATCGCAAAGCTCTTGAAATAATGCAACAATAAGCGGAAATCCTTTTCCAAATCACACTTTTATTGAGTCACTGTACGGAGTGCATCGTCTCCTCACATTTGTACTCTCGTTCGCTCTTCTTCCTCCTCCGTCTCTGAAATGTAAAAAAACCCTCCTGAAATCGTAAAAGCAGGTACGGCAATTTATGAGAAAAAAAGCACTCTTTCCCTGGCTCTCTCTTTCTTTCTCTTCATTATCATCCCATAATGACACCAATCTATACGGATGCCATCTTAAGCAGTAACCACAACGTAAATAAAGACATTTGGAGTGCAAATCCGCTTTGTTTACTTATCAATTAAAGCTGTTTAATGTCACAGCCAGTAAATGAAAGATTTTACTGCTGCCGTTCTGCAAATTTACCTTTTTACAACAGAGAGCAACACTAATCAGCATCCGCTCAGTTAGAGAAAGAGAACTGAAGAAAATTCCCCCAAAACGTAGCGATTGTTCGAGGAGGGTTGGTGGAGCTGCAAGACAGGAAACATGAATGCAAAGTCAAAGAAACGAGGAGCTTGCATACAGACTGATACTTGTGCAGATTAAGTGTCCAGTTGACTGTGTTAGGCTGTAGTTTGCATGCTGGGTCCGGGGGTGTTTGGTGGTACCAGACAATGCCGTCACTGCGCAGGCTGTCTGTGGAACCTTTTTGGTGACCTCACTCTCAGACGTGCTCAAGTCAGGTTATCCCTGCTCACCTTTACTGCTGCCTCCCGTCTCTGATTCACAACTTGTGTAGTTTATTTCAGTACAGCGGGCCCACATCTTAACTCTTCGCTACATCACATTATATTGTCTTCCCTTTAAAATAATGAATGAACTTCCGCATTAATGAAACTCGTGAACACCAGCAATGAACAATGAAAAATACATAGTTGTGATATGGCCAAAACGCATAATAATAAATGCAATCGCATCTATCAATAACAATATCTATGGGCATCAAATGCTTTATGATAATTCAAAGAATAAATTGTTGATATAAAACAACCTGATTGTTTTTTATATTTCTTATCATTTAATAAAAAAAAATGATTACAAAATAATCAGGGTAATTTGGTTATCACAAAGCACATACGGTTTAACCATTTTAAATGTATGTGAAATCTATTTCACTCCGCCCAGTGAGGATGCATTTCTGTGGTGAATATTGAAAAACTGGCCTCTTCTTGAGAATATCTTGTCAAAACATACATCCAAAATAAGGGATTCAGGAGGCCCTTCGCCCCGGGACTCGGCATCTCTCCGAGAGAGAGAGAGAGAGAGAGAGAGAGAGAGAGAGAGAGCGAGAGCGCAAATGTTTTGTCTCTGTTGCCGCACATGTGTCCATACATGTGCGGCCACTGTAAATAATATCACTACCGACCGTGTCATTTTCTGTTTGCATCCACATGCCTGTATCGTTTGCTTTTTTTTTTTCCTGCGCAGTATATGTGTGAGAATGTGTGCGAATGTGTATGAACATACACGGATGTGTGCTTGTGTGTATAAAATGCATAAATAGGGCATTTTGCCCACTAGTGCACCATAGCTGTAGCTGTTTCCCTGAGCTCTCTCCCTGTCACTAGTAATTAGGCAGATGGCCTCTTTGTGTGTGTGTGTGTGTGTGTGTGTGTGTTTGTTCACAAAGATGCAGCTCTCTTTTTTTGCCCCAAGTGTCCTTCACCCTCCTCATGCATCTTTTTTTTTTTTTCCAATCATGACAGAGCAAAAAAATAAAAAATAAGCCAAAGAAAAGTGAATAAACAAACAATAGCTCTGGGAACTTTGTCTGCTTCGAGAAGCACAAAGAGAAAATTGATGATGTGACATCACACCAGGGCCTTGAATTAAGAGTCTAAAACTAAATATAGATTCATTCACTACTCAGGGCGTTTGGAAGAGATTGGCTTTGGTGTTTCCTTCACAGTCTGACTTTTCAATTTACAAATTGGCCGGCCTCTGGATGATATTTTCCAGGACTCTAGCAGCTGTTATTGTTGCAGACAATCTGTATCTGCACAAAATGCGATCATTCCGTACTGTATGTTTCCGGTCTTGTGTTGGTGCGAGCCTTGGACGTTAGGGGAGGTGCAAGGGGCCGGGATTAGGAATTAGGATGAATAGCATTGCTGATTTTTGATTGTTTTGGGCCGGCAGCGTCTCATTTCCAGTGGGCTTGTAGAATAATTTTTGGCCATTGTTAGTCAGAAAGTGTTAGGGTAGAGCATTATTTGGGCTTTGTTTATGTTTTTGGTCCAACTCCAGTGTGGATGGAGCTGAATGCAAGGTTATGATTTTCAAAAGATTTGGTTGGCAATGCAAATGTTTCTTATTGTCAGCAAATCCCATTCAAAGAGTAATACCAAGACTGTACTGATCTGTCTAATCAGCATCGTAGTCCAGAAAGACGTCATTGACCTCCGTCGCTGCACTGGTTGGCCTCTTCTTTTATCTCCGCAGTTACTTTACCGTCCTGCTGATAAACAGATCTATATTGTCCACCAAATATGTTTTAATCTGAACTTGTTCCTGCAAGTGCCCCTCTAGGCAATGATTTTATTGTTATCATTCATTCATCAGTGGTGTATTTTCAAAGATCTTCAGGATGAAGTTGGTTTTGTTTTACATAAGCGTTTGAGGACAAATAAATTATAACACCATATTTACTAGTGTAGTAATTTGTACTAATTGCCCAAGATACTTGGAACAAGGGTAAATGTTCTCTCCGGATCCCGATCACACAGCTTTCTTAATTAGTTAGTTTCTTAGCTAATGTGCTAAAGTATATCTCACCAACCTCAACCCGAAGTGCTAATGGCGCCATTGTCAAGTTCGGCTTTCACAATAAATTTAAATTGAATTACCTTTTTAATTTAGAATGCCAGTTAGAATCTGACGAACCCGTCTCGGGTTTGACAATGTGACATCTTCAATACACCTTTAGCTTTGTTTGTTCACCCTGAATCAAGATCTATTTAGCATTCCTGTATCACCTCGTTTTATCTGGTAATGCTAATTGCCACTCGGCCTTCTCCTCGCTAACGTGAGCTGAATTTGACATTTTAGATGCTAGATAGTCTGTCATCCGTGTTCAGCAGGTAGTCGACTGTGGAAAGCGAGCTCACGAACAGACGGATCTTCAGTGCTTGAACTGTCAATCAGGTGCTTTTCTTTGTGCGGCTTTTTCTCTACAATGTGACAAGTTACTAATAAAAATGTCATTTTATTTTGGTGCCTTTTTGTGATAAAAAGGTGTAAAAAAACAGCAATATTTCTACTACCACCTTCAACATATCTACTTATGGTGGTTTATCTGTTATTATTACAAGTAAGACCCATTATTTCTTTCTGAATTACCGTTGTGTGCGTGCACAGGGATTTATTCCCTCAAGGTTGTTCCTTTAAAGCCTTGTATGTCTCTTTCGTGTTGGGAGCCAAGCACTGTATGCAAGGCAGCCACGCAGATGTTGTTCAGTGTCAGTGTCAGTATTGCAAAAGAAACGAGCTGCACGCAAATGTGACGGTACCCTGCTGTGTTGTGTAATGCGCCCTGAGAATTTTTTTTCTCCCACCAACGACAATTTCTGCTGTGTTACGGCCGCTTTCTCAAACTCAGACCCTTTCACTTGGCAATTATTCCCCTGCACAGTGCACTGATGAAGGGCGCTCACAGCTTGTTTACATTGGTTTGAATTAAACGAGCAAGCAGTTTTTGTGAGAGGGATCCGGGGATGAGCTCGAAGGGAGATGAGTCCAAACACGTTATTATAAATGAGGTCCCTTGCCGGAGAGCGCGCACGAGGTTCTTTGGTGGGTCAGTGAAGTGCTCAGAGGGAGATGTGGACTTTCAAACACACTTTTAGAAACTCCAATAGATTCCGAGGCCGCGTTGTTGAATTTACCTCGTGTGCCTGTGTGTCCTTGAACCCCTTGGACTGACCGCTCGGCCCAATCGAGCAGGGGCTGGAAAAGACGTCAAGCTGGACGAGCTAATTGGTCCGCAGAGAGAACGGAGCGAAGAGGAGGGACAGAGAGGGCATTTGACATGACGGGAGGAAGGCGCAGAAACTCCAAAAATATGCCAATGAAAGAGGAAAAGGTCTGTGCTGGGAGCAGCCAGAGGGAAGATAAAGCACGGGAGGTTGAAACAAAAGGGGAGAAGGATGGCAGACAGGTGGAGGAAGTGAGACGGAGCTTGTCAGAGAGCTGCTGAAAAGACGGAAGATTGAGAGATGGCGTTGAAATGAAAGCAGCTGTAAAGGGAACTGAGGGGGAAATGAAATTGGATTGAATGGGGACGCGCGGGGAGAAACAAAAGGGAAAAGATGAGCGATGGTAATCGAGAGGATGCGTGCGAAGCCTCGACTGATGAGGACAGAGGAGCGGGAAGGAAAAGGCTTTCATGTCTCCTTTCCTGCCGCGTTTGGAGGATGAATTATGGTTGCGGCAGAGGGCAGGAGAATATTAACCTGACACTCATCCTGAATTCGGATTTCGCTCCCCGTCTCAAAGTGCCATCCTCATGCCGGTTTTCAAACAAACCAGAGAGGGGGCGTCGATGGAACCCCCGTCTTGTCGAGTTCATCTTAATCTATAAGTACGGGGCTTTTCACTAACGTTGTCTGTTGTTGTTTTTTTTCCAAAACGATGCAACTAAAAAAGCCACCGTGGAAAATATCTCTCGCGAGTAAAAGTAAATCAAATAGTTAGAAAAAGAAAGTTGCCAGGCTGAAATTGGCGGAATGAAGGAGAAAGCTGACGAACTACACCCTTTAATGTTGTCCCTGTTTTCTTTTCTCCAACAAATGTTATTTCTGTTGACCTCCCGTCACGGTGTTTGACGGAATTCTCCCAGGTCATGCATAATAAGCGCTCACTCATGAATGAGGCTCACACGGTGCGCAGCACACCCACCGCCGTTTATGTAATACATGTGTCAGTGGGACGTGGGACTGACTGCCTGCAATCACAACGTGGGCGGCAGTCGCCGTGATCAGTCCAGGCTCGCAGGCTTTGCTCGGGTTTCAAATGGATTCCTTCAGGGTGTCCTTTCCTGTGCTGTTATCATCCTGTGGGAGACAAAAGGAAAGAAGGGCAGAGGACACACCCACCCGTCCGGCGGCTTCACTTTGACACGTACACCCGCTATGCGACTCGCGGGCTGAGCGCTTCAGCCAAGAAAAGCCTCTGGATTATGAGTCACATTTTTAGCAATAAACCAATTATTGTACACCTTCTTTTGGAAAAAGTTCTAATTGAGTATCTTGACAATAACAAAGAAACATTGGATGGTAGTTATATGGTTCAAATCCAATGGCAGACATTAGATTACAGCGGTACTGTAGCAAACGATCGGATTCTTGTCAAGGTTAGGTGGCTCGCTCCAGATACATATCAACTAAAACTGTTCTATCGCTATATCATCCTTTGTGATGCTACAATGTACCTCATTTGTTCTCCCCACAAGGTCAGTGTTGGAGTATGAGGCACTTTTCTACATCTCAGAATCAACTGGACAGAGATTATTATTAAACCAAATGTTATTACTCTAAATGCAAATGTGGAGAGTTCACATTCTAACCATTCAGTCATATAACTCTTCTAGGACATTTCTCCCCAAGGCGGAGTGGTGCATTCACATAATGCGTGTACATAGAAACCCGGTACATTCCTAACGCTATGTACCGGGTTCTGTTTTTCATTCCCAACTGCCTTTACTGTACTTATAGTCATGTCGTGAATAAATTTGCCTCTGGCTCTTTTGAAATATGTATACCCCAATATCAGAAGATTCATATTCCATTATTCAATAAGGAATAAACTATTGTTACTTATACGCTTATACAACTTATATAACTATATTCTCCCGTACTCTGAATTATCATTTGTAGTTTGTTTGTTTTTCTTAATGGAAGTGAGCCTCCTCTTTCAAACAGTGACTCGTTTACTTAACACCAATAGGTCATAGGGTATTCTACCGGTCCTTATCCACTTAGTCTGTTTACCTATTCTTCTTTAGGTGCATATTTTGGATTAAGACTTTTATGTCTACTTGTTGCCAACTCTCTCTGCACTGTTTATCTTTATAATTCCAATCCTTCCCTATCTTTATATGCATCTGCATGGACCGCATAATCAAGCCCAACCTAAAATGGGCCCACATTTATTATGACTATAATAAGAGGCAAACGCACGTCTAAAGTGGAAACTACCCTGGCTGGTAAACCCTTTTGTTTAGAGCCAGTGTACATGCGCATGAACAACCACTGTGCGCACCCAGCAAGCTAGCAAGCTCACAAAGCAGTGGAGAGCGTGGGTTGTCATCCCTATGTTTTTGCAGCTCCTCAACCATAAATTAAACCCCTGGGAGGGAGGAGGGCTGGATAGGGAAGCCATAGCGAGTGGGTGAGAGACGAAGAGAGGGAAGGTTTCAGCGAGGAAGAGCAACACAGTGAGAGCACGACGGAGAGGAGAGGAAGGCGAAGGCTAGAGACCCGGCGGAGGCCCCGCAGACTGAACAAGAAAACGAGTGGGAGGCAGCAGCCCCCCCTTCCCTCAATCCACCCTGCCAACTGTGCAGCGCTGAAGGCTTTCATCATCTGATTTTTTTTTTTTTTTTTTTGTGGCGTGATTTTGGGATTCGAGATGCATGGCATCAGCGAGTGTGGAGACTGTGGAGATCACACAGGCCGAGACGGATCATTTGTGAGGCTTGTGAGTTCCGCAATAGTTCGGGGGTGTATGGAACAGCTACAACATTCACTAAGGGAACACTGTAGAGACCGATAAGTCACTGCAAGAACACTAGTTTCCTCTGATTTATGTCTGTCCTTCTCATGCTTTTTGTTTTCTTTAATTAGAAAGGGCCAAATCATTCATGTTAGGGCACAATGTCACCTAGACTGAGGGGGTTATTGCTCACACAAACGGAGGCCCACAAGTTCTTACCTTGCCCCCGTGCAGAAGGCCTCCCACACAGGGAGTGTTTTGGTATTGTTAGAGAAGATTCAGTCATCCATCATCCAGCCGTCAAGGGAGAGACAGTGACAGGTTATAGATTGGCTTACTCTCTCTCCTCCCTTTATTTTATTTTTCTCTGGGGAGAGAAAATAGGAGAGAAAATAAGCTCTGTGGTAATCGGCATCCAACCTGCTGTCCATCTTAGGTGAATATCTCAAAGTGCTCCCCCTCAAAGACTCAGGAATTCGAAGATTGTAGCATTTGTGACTCTAAAATCAACCGGCTTTTCCTATAACGTGCACTGTGATGACATCATTCCGTGTCTTTTTTGTTGTTTAAATGGATTAATTTAGGAGTTGAGAGTTCTTCTTTACTTCATATCGATACACTGTTGTGTCTCCAAGCAAGTGTGAATGGAAACCTCCCAGCATGCACCAGGACAACAGACTATCAACATGAATCTGATTATTACATATTACCTTATTATTGTCACCTATACTGTAATAACTGTTGCACAATCTTGTTTTTGTCATGCAACCAGTCATAAGGAATTATTTGTTGGCAAACTTTTCAAAACTTTTCTTTCCAATTACAACACTCTGGGGTCTTAGATCAGACCCAGCTTTGCGTTAGTAAGTAGTGGGACTCAAGTGCAGCAAAAATATTTCATATTTTATAGTTATTCATTTTTACAAAATGGTATTGCTTTCCAGGATTGATCCATTTCCCTGTTGAATTCTGTATTTGACTTTGGTTTTCTACCACTGTGCGCCAATAACTGTAACAATTGAATTAAAAAAAACAAGAACTCAATATGACGAAGACCACAAGATGCAGTTAGAAACTGTGTATAAGTTCTTCCTTGGAGATAACCCACCCACGCACGGATCACTATTTAATGTAAATGTGGTCGGTCCTGCAGCCAGAAACAAACGCTCTTTCTTTAATTCTATAGGTTTCTCATAGAAGGTTACACTTCAATTCAACTCTCGCGACTAGCAGATGCTCCCTGTGACTCTTACGTGATATTGCTTCCGACTTCATGGCCCTGCAGTGTGGGAGTAAAAATATGAGGGCAACGCTGGAATGACATACAGTATGAAGTGCATTGAAATTCAGCTGTAGATTGGTTACTCTTTCTCGATCATTGTCCCCGTTCCCCTTCCTCCGTCAATGAATACAATCAACTCGCCACAGCCACCTCCCGCCCCCCTCCCCCTCCGTGTCTCACTCAGAACCTCCGACAGCTGTTCCCACAGGCATGCTCCCGCTGCCTTGTATTCAATTCCCGGCTGGCTCAGCTCACCAGACCACTAACCCCAGGTCCTGTCAGACAGGACGGAACTTCATCAACAATGCAAATGAGGGGCGAACCAACGTGAGTAAAGATACCGCCGTTTGTTATCGGACTCACATAATTAAAGGGAAGATCTACTCTTTAGTATAATAAGTATAAGTATAATAAGCCAAGATAGAAATGTGTTTTATCGGATAATAATCTTGTCTGATTTATTCTCTATACCCTGCCCTTTTTATCTGCAGGTTCATTGACAAATAGCCATGCCTTACATCAGAAGTACCTCCCACTCTCCCTTCAAACGGGAGCTTTTTCAGCACCACATTTGGCACTTTAAGACTACCTTCTTTTTTTACTGAACACATGGTGGGAATGTAACATCAAACATTAACAATTGGCTCTCTCATAGTCACCAGCATTTATGTGCGGTTTCTTTCCCGCTGGCTACTGATGATATGAGTCACAAGTGGCATCTCATCCTTTAGTGGAGTGGTTTTATCACTACTGCCTTTTAGCCATCTTTTTGGAGGCCTTCCAACACTAAGAATGACTCAACTAGGGAGGTGTCTTTGCCTAATCCTCATATAGTGTAGAGGGAGAAACTTTATCTGAGACAACAAATGTAAAGAAAATGTCTACACAGCCAGCATTCCTCCCCGCTTTATAGCCGTCCTTTAAACCCTCAATTTAATACATTTAAAAATATAATATTTGATTCTGTAAAGTGTACCGTTTGCCTGTAAACACTAATACCCCTCCACTGTGCTGGTGTTGAATTTTTTAATTACAGCAGTGGTTTCATACAATATAATGCCTTTTTTTTTGCTCTCTTTTAAATAAGGAGATTTATCCGCAGTGGAGCCACGTCCCCAAATCCGCTCATTTTGACTGCCACCTTGTTGCTTGTTTCAATTCCAGTGCACCAACGAAAAAGCTAAAGATAAAACCTCGTAATCTACTTGTAGACTGCTGCACTGCGGCCATGTGGTCGCCCAGTCCTATGTGGGCCCGTGTGCATTTCGATAGACGAGGAGGCAGCTCCAGTTTTCTTTGTATGGGAGCGGCCTTGAATGCCAAAGGCATCTGTTGACCCAGCTGGCATTTGCTGAGCGGTTGTGGTACGCCAGGTTAAGGACAACATTTATCCAGCATGTATTTGGGTACCGTGCATCGGTGTTTGTGAGCGAGAGGGAGAGAATCTGTTTGAATTTATTGTGGGGGTTTTCACACGGGAGATCGTTGTATGTCAAGAGTAGCAAAAAAAGAAATGAGTCAAATTCCGTGTGGGTCAAAAAGGCATCTAGCAACCAGAAATAGTCATGAAATAAGTTCCACCACAACAAACAACAGATTAATTGGCGTTTGCTCTGTTTTTCACGTCACATGGTTTGCCGCAACAAACCTTTCATTCCCTTATCGCCTATCCATGAGCACAACATCGGCGCCTCATAGCCTGCGGAGCAACAACTCAACACTCTCTCTAAAACTAAACATGAAACAGACAAGAGGGGAAGAAA